CATTTTTAAAGTCTTAAGAAAATCTTACCCTCCTGCTGCTGAGAACCAACCATGTAGTGTAAGACACACTCCCACCTTTCCAACGCATAAGAATCCAAAAAGGCTACGTCTCTCGGCTTACTATCGGTTTCTAGTTGATTAGACATGGTCCATGGTTTGCCGCCACCCAGCAACACAATCTTTAAGTTCTTCTTGAAGGTACTATTCAAGGTCCAGCCTGGTAGTCCACCAGGTATGGACGCTTCCTTCCACACATATAGCTCGTTCAAGACTTGTACCACCTTCTGATGCTCCTCGAAATAGAGCTTGGAGCACCAGGATGCTATAACTGCCTGTGGTACTGGTTGCTCAACAAACAACAGCCTCATAACATAATGCTTAGCAATAACAGGCAATTCGCAGAATACAGCTAGACATATAGGCGGCTTGTGATACAATTTGTTCAGAGTGTCAGGACTACGAGATTTTAAATATTCCTGTAGATTCGTGCATTGTAGACTGTTCGGCCGTAACAGATTCTTGCCGGTTATTGTGCTAGACATGTTACTAATGTTCCGTCGTTCAATTGGGTGAACTATCTACTAACTTAGATCTAAATCCAGTTGTGACAACAAAGATGCCTCTTGAGCTTTTATATCTATTATAAATTGCAAGACCGTGTTCTTCCAAGACCATTATCTGCATCTGTAATCACAGATGTATAAAATACAGAATAAAATTTTCTGTTTGCTGCATTTGGATCGTAAAATAAATAATACTTACTTATAAAGCATGATTAAGTTTGTATAAATACTTTTATACATAACTCTGACATATTTTTAACACTGTCATGACACTCATGACTCCTTTGACGACAGATTCAATCGCGTGATTTCTTTCTTTCTTTTTGCGTTTCGCAAATCACTGTGCAATTTATGGTATTTCAACATGCGAACAATTCTCCGACAATGTAATCACGTTACGATTTTATTTTTTTTTATAATAAACGCGTTAGTCGTGTGTTTAATACGTAGCAGAAGTATTGTGCTGTTTCGAAAAAAATTTGTGGCAAATATTGTTTTCATCATGAATAAACAGCTTCGGGTTTATTTTGTATTCGATTCTTCGAACACTTCACTTGACATGATATTATTTATCACAGAATTTTTTGTCATTGCACGCCGCGGTCATTACACTTCCATTACATTTATGCCGGAATAAATACACTTGTAAAAAAAAAAGTGATATAGAAAGAAAAGTGAGTAGAGAAGAGACTGACATGAATGACGTGTAGTGTCCTCTATTGCATGCGACTGTAATAACATTTAAACGTTGGGTAAGATTTTATGATCATAAATGAATCTCAGGGTAATGAAAAAATCGTCATTATCGATCGTTTTTTTACCGATCACTTACAATGACTTATCGTTAATGGCAACGTTATTCGTAATAACTTTCACTCAATTGGTTGCCAGTTAAACGAGGACACAGCTTTTATGTCACAAATTACGTAAACGTCAACATTTCTTGCGTATAAATTAACCGTCTCGATGACGTACATTGACTTTCTGTTGCATAAGGATGACTTTAATTAAACTCGATCTTTTTAATTTAATCGATGATTATTAATTTAGCAAATGATATCTGTATTTACTAATTTTATTTTGTTTAATACAGTTAATATAATTAATTAAAAATCTTTTGTTATTTAATACATCGAAGTGTAAATTATCGAAACGATCAATTAATAGCTATATTAACTAATTAAGTTAACCACAGTTTGATTAAAGTATCGCTCAATCATAAAAATTAATTACAACATCGAGTTAAGATTCTTTTTCCGGTTTCAAGAATTAGAAAAAAATAGAGTTAATAAAAGTTTGATCGAAGTATCGCTCCATTTTTATGTAGATCAACTTTATAGTCTCATTTTAATATTCTACTTTTCCTAAGAATTAGAAAAATCTCGATTAATCTACATTTATGAAAATGATCATAATAAGAATAATATTTCAACTAAACTTTTATTAATTTATTTAATTAAACTGATAGAATATTTGCCTATTACAAAATTTTTAATTTAATTTGTCATTCGTAATTTAATCTTTTCTTCGTGTGTTAAATAATGAAATATTAATTATTCTATCTATATTAGTAAAATAGTGTAGATATTGCTTGATAAATTAATTGCTGACTAAATTAATTGTAATTTGATCAAAGCTACCCTGAGAACTTCTTATCAGTGTTTCATTATACATAACGAAAATTATACATATTACATGAATAAGAAATATTAATCTTATCAAACTCACACGTACAATTATTAGTTAAAAATTAGCAACAATAAAGATATTTCGGAATGTTAGTTGCGTGTATATATTTTTAAATATTCTCCGCGTCCCACATCACGTCATTAATATGCAATCTTACATCGTTTGGAAACATTATAAATAATATTTTTCACAATATATTTGCATGATTTGTGCATCTCAGTAAACACTAATGATAACATTGTATCGATATTATAATTTTCTACTCAGCAATGTAATTATTATATGTACAATGTGTATTTTAATTTATATTATACTTGTATTGTTGAATAAGAAATTATAATATTAATGTAATATATGTCACTGTTGATGTTTACGTTCCTCCGAGATACATTTCGACCTCCATCCAGTTCCATTAACGGCTAAAAACATCAACGGAATCTGAAACTGACATTCTCGTACTCCTAGTTCGTATTCGTCACCCTGGTTTCACAGTCAATGACTTCACCGTTCGCATTACGACGTTGGAGAACGGCAGAGGACGATGTGCCTCGAGTGTACTATCGTCGTGTACTTCGTCGAGAATGGAAGAGAGAGAATGAGAGAAAGAGAATGAGAGGAGAGAAGGAAAGAGAAGAAAGAGGAAAGGAGGAGAAGGGAGAGAGAAAGAGTAGGAGAGAGCTTTTCCTACGTGAACGCTCGCAACGACGTATGTAAGCGCGTATCGAAAGAGGAAAGGAGGAGAAGAGAGAAAAGAAAGAAGCAAAAGAGTAAAAGAGAGAGACATGTGCCAGCTATTCCTGTACGCAACGAGTCGCAAGCGGCATAATAACGCCATGTTGTTGCTTAGCACAGTGAACTCTCTCGACGCGAACGAGTAAATTCATGGTAAGATGTGTCTACGCGAGATCCGAAATAGTCCTAATATTTTCGAGGACTATATATCTTTCTTCTTCACATCTTTCTTATACTCGATTCCACAAATGTAAGATTAACTTTAATCTCGGTTCAATTTAATCTTTATCTAAGTCTAAGAATTAAAAAAAGATAAAAAATAAATTGAACCGAGATTAGAATTAATTTTACATTTATGGAACCGAATCTTAATTTTTCGGAGTTGGTGGATTTATTGGATTTACTCCATTATAAAGTTTTTTCTCAAAAATGTCAACTGATTCAATTTTCTTTATGTTACAACTGCTTTGGATTATTCTTTATCTATTAAAATATACTTGTTAACTTGTTAGTATTCATTCTTTTTTTTATATAAATTATATGAGTTATTGTAGTTTTCATTTTCTTTTTTGTTAGTTTGAGTCTTTAAAATTAATTAGTGCCTTTTAATTAGAATAAATTAAATGGATCTTTTAGGATCATTACTTAACTGTGTTACAAATTTTTCAGCTCTTGAGGATTAAACGTTCTCCGATTTCTGAGATACATAATCGTGACATAGATAATCTTAGTTGTACTCTTTTATCAGAAGAGAAGAGAGATTGATTTAGGATATTTGAGCACATAGAGGACACACGTATTTGTCGATGCTATCAAAAGGTGCCATTAGACAATATAATTGACTCGACAAGAGCGATACAGTCAGTTGTAAATGTTATTATTACGATATCCGCTACGTATATATCATTGCTATCGTTACGTTTCTCGGAATACCGTGTGAGCGACGTTAAGTTTACGACTCACAATCTAAAACCGACCTTTTTCTCAACTAAAGGAAATCGAGGCGGGAATAACTTTTCGATTATAAAAATTGTCACCAAATCAAGGATTTAATAAAATTCGGATTATTTTTCCGAGTTCTAACTCGAATAAATTAATTCGCATCATCGGATTATTTTCGATCTTTTTGCTTTCGATGAGAATTGTATTTGTGAAAGAAAAGAACGATTCTTTCTATCCAAAATGAAGTTTTTCTCCTGCCGTTATTACGCGTGACCCTCCGTATAATCATATTTCTAAGAAATACATATAATAGATATATTATATCAAGCAAAATTTTTTTCGAAGAAGAAGTTTTGGAATGCAGTCCTATATTGTAAATGTGTAAAAAATGATTTCAAAAATGTGTGTTATTTATATAGTTGTCGTGTAAAAATGACACTATACATATTTTAATGAGTAAATCCATATTTGTATGCAGAGGATGCGTTATTTTTACACGGAAAACTAGTCACACACGTGTAAAGACATTTTTTATATTTTTTTATTTGAATTTGCAGTGTAGGCACTTTGCAAGCTCTCACTCTCTCTTCTTTCTCCAATAGTCATATAATAAAATAATGTCACATATAAATTAATAAATTACCAATTATTATCTATTTGTTAATGTTTATTTAATTCTAATGTCCTTCTTTAATAAAAAAAAAATCTTTATTAAAAAACAAAAGTTTTTTTTAGCAATTACATTAAAAAAGAGTATATCAGCATTATTTTAATTGAAAATAATCTGTTGATTTAATAACAATATTAATAACAACATTAATAAAATTTTATTAGAACGAAAGTATGACATATTTGTTTTGATAATATTACGTATGAATTAACAACATTATTTTTAATTAAAATAATGCAGTTGATACAACAACTTTCTTTTAATGCACCATTCATGGCAGGATATCGAAATCTAAATGAATTCTCGAACTAAATTAATTCGTACTATCGTTATATACTGAATTTTATACTGAACTCTTTCTATCGGAAGAATAATAGAACCTAAAGTGCGACGCGCGCTTTTGGAAATGTTCCTCCGCGGCTAACTACGCAGAGTTCTCCACAATTCTGTTTCTAGGCACTTGGCGAGTTCTCACTCCCTCTTTTATTCCTCCGGTGGTGTCGTCGTTTCCCCCTCTCTCTACCGAAGGGCTTTTGTATCGCCTCTCTGTCTCCAGCACTTCCTGTGTTCCGCCAACACGTTCACCTGTCCACCGTCACCTGCCTCCGCGGTTACCTAGGCGTACACCGCGTATGCCCCGCCGTCGAGCGGTGATATCCTGAGGGACCTTAGTTTTGCCTAGAACGCGGTGGGGCCGCGGTCTTGCCGTCTTGCGTCGTATACAGACTTCGCACGTACATAAGCGGTAATGCGACCGCACGCGATTGTGCAGTCGACTTTACGCTGTCGCGCGACTGCGTACGTACGCGAACGAGTCTCTCTTGTTCTGTTGTACCAATAAGCAGGGACATTTGCCGGACGAGGTCCGGACGATAGATAGATCCAGGTTCGACGAACTCCAGGCGACGCGCGACACATCGCTTCCTCGAACAGTCCCGTGGCTGTTTCGTAAGAAACGAAGCTCCAGTCTTGACGCGTGTCACGCAGTGCGTTCATATTAGATCTGCCGCTTCAGATCTATATCGTTCGAGAGGGGGAGAGAGAGAGAGAGAGAGAGAGAGAGAGAGAGAGAGAGAAGAATATCGTGATTATACAATATTCGATTGTGTAAACACTTTTTCGATTCATTCACATCGTCCGATCCATTGAGTCTCGGAACTAAGCATTGATATTTTGATAGAAAGTTCGAAATAAATACATACAAGTTAGAGACAAAGGGACTAATCTAAGGGGAAAAATGAGTTTGAGGTAAACTTGTTTTTAATTAACCGAAGGTGATTGAAAGGAATTGCCTTGGAGGCAAGTTCAAGGTTCATTCCAATCCGGTGGTCACCGCAGGAACATCATTACGCTTGACGATTTGCGCGATACCACCTGTCGACGCTATTAAATTGTTGAAGGGCAGTGGTGTTCTCGACGCCGCCTACTTTTGATTCCTGGACGTGGACAGTTCACTTATAATGTCAACCAGATATCTGAAACGGTAAGTTCGCAAACAATATGACTATTCGATGACTGAAGATGCTGTATAATAAAGTATTAGGTATTATAAAAGTATATTATAAACTCTTGTAGAAATTTAATACCGGAAAATAGTAATTATTCATTATAAATAATAATGTTTTAATTTAAAATGATTAATTAATTATTATCTTTCAGTATTGAATTGGATTTCTTTGTAAGGGAAGTATATATTTATAAAGTATATTATAAATTTATGAAATGTATTATTTAATGATGGTCAGAAAAAAAAACGGTTTATTAATTTTTACATGTAAAAAACTATATGTTTTTTTTATTTGTTAATCAGGAACCACGTTAAATGTTTAATTTAAGAGTAATAACGAAATTTAGCACTAGAATTGCCGATGATATCCCGCTAGAACTTCCGAAAAAGTATCAATTTGATAATTTCCTATATAATCCTTGTTGTCGGTTAGTGAAAAATTATATTTTGATATTATCTATATATTGGGTCATTTAAAAAGTATCCGTTGACCATCAACACCATCTAATGACAAAAAACCGCGGATACTTTTTAGATGACCCAATGTATCGTTAGAATTATTTGTATTGTATTCACAAATTTTCAATGTATTGTATATCTAATATAAAAAAAGAAAACATTAAAATGATTAGAGAGGAAAATTGTACCATCGGTGGTCCTAACGTTAAGAGTTTAGTACGATCGTCCTTCCACCTCAATAACGTTTTTAGTTCATTTAATATTTTCTATCATTTTCCTCATGAATTCAATAAATGTACGTACAACAAAGAGTTGCGATATCGGCATTTTCGCGCGGTCGACTTCGTGAAGTTTTAACTTTCCCTTATCTGCGTATCACAGCATACGCAGTGTCGTGCGTACATACATATAGTAGAAATGTTTCTTACCGCTTCTCTGCTCGATAAGAGCTTCATTCGTGGCGCCTTGAAAGATGACCCTAAAGTTTATCAAACTAGAGAGTGATAGCGAATTCAATTAAATGCATTCAGTGCGCACTGGTACATATTAAAGCCATCGTACAAATTAATGTAAAGATGTGTGTTTTATATGAATATAGAAACGGGTTAAACCGTGAAGTCCTCGATATATTTTAGTATGTTGTCAAGTAAATTATATATTTTATAATTCGAGAGAAATACTTACATTTCATTCAGATTAAATCAGTGTACAACGGCTTTAATATACACCAGTATTAAGGCCTGTTCTTTTCGACTGAATTTTTTCATCTTTCTTCCTTTTCTCTTCAGGAGGACGGAAGAGGAAAAAAGATAAAACTGGTGCAAAAATTCAGCCAAAAAGAACAAGCCTTTATTATACGTTCAATCAAATTCATTATAAGAGATTTATTCGCGTTGCTTGCACCTTTTGCATTCACCATTATTTTCTCTTTCTTTTTCTTCATCTCCTAAATATCTACTTACCTCATTTTGAAAAGTTTTTGGAGACTTCAAGGGTTTCAATACAAATAAATCTCTTATATAGACCTAAGGTTGAGAGTAAGATTGAAATTATTCAATCAGGAGAAAGAAAACCAATATAAAAGTAACCCTAGCTTTGATTGGTCAAATTCAATCTCAATCTTAATCTATAGTCTGATACGGGCTTCAGCGATCCTGATTACACAATTAATCGATTTATTCGTGCCTGCGAGGAACCAGGTGATTCGTCAGCATCACTTCGAAGTATCCTCGCGAATGTGGGCTTCGTGATCCGGGCACCGTTTTAATACACTCGACTGTACCGCCTCGTCTGCGCCACGACACACGCATGTATGTAGGCATCTACGTAGGCACACTCGATATAAGCATTCGATATAAGCATTCTGTCGATCGAATTGGGCGGTAATGCGCCGTGCTTCGGTGCAGCTGCCGTCGTTCAACATGTTCTGAAAGTTGTCGACAGCTGCGCCGATTGCTGTGCGGCTGCTCCAATTTCCTGGCTTTAGAATGGTTCGATTAGAAAAGAAGAAGAGTCGAAGAACCGATGTTAGAAGTGCCAGGACAAAACACACATAAAAAAAAAGGAAACCCAATAAGCTGTCATGCAAAAAAAAATGTAATTTGTCTTATAATCAGAATAATTGATATTACGTTTTTTATCTCTAGTTCTTCTCGATTAATTTTAACTCCAGAAGATAATTGATAATTTATTTAGAAAAAAAGGAAATTGTTTTTATAGATATAGGTGATGTTATTTACAATTTTAACGTGATTTATTTGTACAAATATATATAAAATCTAATTTTTAATTTCTTAATCTCTCTCTCTCTCTCTCTCTCTCTCTCTTTGTTTCTTCATTGTGTATAATAACAACTGAAACTTCTTTGAAAATGGTATCGAGATTGAAATGAAAAGAAATCTTCAATTCAAGGTCTGAGATAAGCGAATAATACATCGAAGATCCAACATTCTGAAGAGTCCACTAACTTATCTAGTATGAAACGCTGCGAAACTTTCCTTTCACCTGGCTGTTTTGCGACACGAGTCTTCCATTGCGCTTCCACGCTAGCTATACTAATGTCGATTACGCAAGCGTAAATAATCGCAAGTGACCGTGTAAAGGTCTATATGCAGATATAGGACAGGAATACAATTTATTCTCTCAATTTGTTTACTACTCGAGAGAAGATAAAATTATTTCAAATCTATCATAAGTTATACGTATCAGTAAAAAACTTAAATGATAAAATCAGATAAAACTATTCGTTTTAAACGAATCGACTGTATGATTATTTAGCATTAGTGAACAGTGATACAATATCTAAAATTGAACTTGTTTGAACGATACATATGCATTATAACAAAAGTAAAATTGAAATATCAAAATTGAAATAACGCTAAGAAGAAACAAACGTCATATCGCAAGTAAATGTGAATGCGAAATATAAAAAATTGAGGTTTAGAGATTAGTGAATGTATTACCGCTTCATTTATTCTTATTGTTGAGATACGTCACACAACATCCATTACGGATGTGTCATAAGAGAGCAGCGAGCAGATGTGTGGGCAGGGGTAGGAAGTTTAGTTTTACAAGAGGCAGCTGAAGCGAACACAGATGTAGCCAGATCTCTTCGTCTTGGAAAGCAGCAAGGATGTTTCTTTTCTCGCGATGATGATAGTTGGTTTTAAAATTGAGTTAAAGATGCGGGCTTCTCTATGTTATAAAGTAAATTATCACAATCACCGATTATTCGAAGAGCACATTAAAATAAAACGTTAATGTAATATATTAATTATGTCACAAAGGAAATATAAAATATAATTGAATTGGAAAATCTATTTTATATTATTATTATTTTTTACTTAGGAGGGATGAATGTTTTATATGATTAAATTGGAGGCGAAATTTGTGAATTTGTTTTAGAGAAAGGAATAAATGGACATAGTTCTTTGTAGATGTTACATTTAAAGTTTAGTAAGTTATTTTGCTATATTTAGGATTTAGAAAATTATTAGTATTAGGTGTTGGAATTAATTCGTAGCGTTTTTTAATGAAAGAATGTTATTTATTTCACAGCATTAAAAAATACATTAATGAAACTACTTCCCATCACTTGTAAAACGCTACGAATTAATTCCAACACCTAATAATATAAAATTTGTTAAAAATATCGGAGCTTTTTATCATTGAAGATAGAAAAATTTCAAATTTTGCTATTTTTTAGTTTTCCTTAAGATACTTTGTTCTACATATTGAACCTGACATTTAAAAAATGTCAATATTAGGTTCAATATGTAGAGTAAAGTATCTTAAGGAAAACTAAAAAATAGCAAAATTTGAAATTTTTGAAACTATCTTCAATGATAAAAAGCTTCGATATTTTTAACAAATTTTAATAACAATATTACAAAATGGTAACAAATTAGTATGATATCAATATTAATTAAAAAATTAGAATTTTATGTTTATGTTCTTATTATTTTGTAAAAACATTTTTCTAACGATTTATTATAAATAGCATTTAACTTGATCGAAACTGATCAAGAATCTGCAAATCACATAGTTTCTGTGAAGAAAATTGTCTTGGAAGCCAAAAGTATAATTTATACATCTCAAATATAGTATAGTAGTGTAGTAGTATAATAAAACAACTGTATTTATTTATTTCTTTCCTTTAAAATAAATTCACGTTTAATTTGATCCTACAAACCTCCTCGCTCTCTAAAATAAAATCAATCAATTTTATATTAAAAGTATCACGAAATCAATTAAATACAAAATCGTAATATAATATTATGGCGAAAGTAAAAGGATTAGCCTACTTAGAAGCTTATAAACACATTGAACAATAATAAACAATCATTGCATTTATATATACAATAAAAGTACGTGCTTACTAAAACATTCCAATTATTCCAATAAACTGTGAGACAACGCAGAGGTACGGCATTTGAAGTATGCATGTTTAAAAGATGTAAAGTCGATTAAAGGACATTCTAATCCCTGATACGTGCTCTAAAGCATCTTTTAGTTTTCCATTGCTGTGCCAGTATGGTTTCCAGCTGCATTAAAGAATTTACTACGACGAAGGAGAATAAAAATCCGTAAAAGAATCAGTATGCCGAGGCAGGAATTAGGCGACGTGCAGCCGATGTGAGGCAAAAGGCGCAGGAGGCGCCGGAGGAAAGCTGTCGGTCATCGGGCAAGAAAGAAAGAGAAAGAGAGAGATGGAAGAAGGTTCGCAGCTGCTATGACAGCTGCACACTTCCCAACATTACTCCCCGGACGATGCGCCATGTACGTTCCGTTCCTATCCTCCGCATGTGCTCGATCCCTCCCATCATCTTGCCAGGTGCTCCTCGTATCGCCTGGTATCGCCGACGCGCTTCGACAAGGCACCACCTTTGTATCCTGTGCCCCGTCTGGCCACGGGACGTGTACGAAACCCTTTCGTCGACGAAAATCCGTACCTCAAAAGAGAAAACTCCGATCTGGTTGCGATCGCGCAGCAGATTGCTCGTTCACGTTTCACCTGCGTGAAAGACAGATCGAAAGACAGATGCACGTGGCGCGAAGTACAATTAATTGCCGTATAATCGGCAAACGATTGAATAATATATTAGGTCATTTAAAAAGTATCCGCGGTTTTTTGTTCAATTTTTGAATGAAAAAACCGCGGATACTTTTTAAATGACCTAATATATATAATATATAATGTCATTAAATAATCTATTGATTAAAAAAACACTACTTTTGTCGTTTGAAATATTATGTATTATAAAATAATATCGGAGATTGTTGTTTTTATATTAGTAGTTGTTAACTCGAAATAATTTCGTTAGACACAAAGAGTCGAATTGGGATATTGACATCTTTTGACGTTTAAAAATTCATTATAGACAGTAATTTGTTTTACATCAAGTAATATATAACTCTTCTATAAGTATAATAAAAACACATCATTTTTTGATAATGTCGTAAACTTAAATGTTCCACAGATAATTAATGGGATACAAAAAGATTTTAACTCGTCCAAAAAAATTTCACATCACCCATGGATATATTTCACTATTTCTTTGTTTCATTCTTGTCATCTGTCAAATATATCACGATATTATGAAAATTCACTCCTAGAGATTAACGTTTACAAAATACTGATAAATATCTTATTAATTATTTTATTTGTGCAATTATCAATTATTTTATTCTCAATTAAATGTTACTCATTATTAATTATTTTATTTATCTTTATACGAAAGATTTCTTAAATTCGCAAACGGCAAAAGAAGTAAAAAGCTGAAGAAACAAAAATGTTAACGATAGAGGACTATAATAGCGGTACCTAATATTAATTGTTATGCTCCCAAAATGATTCGAAGAGCAACGATGGCGAACGCTCGGCGAGCGAGACGGGTGTACGATATGCCTAGATATTTATTCGATCACCGAATGGCTTATTCGGCTTCGTGGTCGGTAATCCACACGAACCCGGTGATCCACGAGCGGGATCGCTTTCTCGATTGTCAGGAGAAGATTTGGAATGGCCGGTGGCCGGCCAAGAGAGCCGCGACTTCTTCCCTTCATCGATTATCGGTGGGGGGAAGGTCGAAGAAGGCCGCAGCTGGGTTAGATCCGGTCCGCGCACAGTTGAATGCAGTTGAATGCACGGTGTGCATACCGGGCGGCGATATAGGTCCGGCGATGTCGTTATCCCCCCCCCTTATCTTCCCCTCCCCTCCTTATCCCTCCTCCTTTCCCGTTCTCCCCCTCCACCTCCGCAGTCCGCTCGTTACTCCACAAATCTGCAGTTGGCAACACGTGTATCTCTCTCTCCTTTCTGATCATCGTCGATAGAGTTCTTTGTCTCCGAAAGGAAAACATTCCGGTATCGAAACGGAAATCAAAGGCTCTTTTTTAAAGGTTCTTTTCGCACGGAGATCAGTTTCTTTATGGGTCGGTTTTTTTATCGCTATACTAAACTGCTTTATTAGAACTCTCTCTTTCTTGCTTTTGCCAAATATCAAACGTACCTATCTCACTTTGAAAAGTGTGTACTTTTTGATAATGTCATAACTTATAAAAAAACTTATACACTAGTTCAGCCACAAAAAATAGATTTTTTATATTAGGAAA